GTAGTCTCTCGGGACTGAAAGATGCCCGCATTGGATTTAATTCACAGTTCAATCCTGGGAAGGAAACAAATTAGGAAAATGCTGCTGAAATTGACAACATATTTGGAATTCTGCATGTCATTCTGGTCCGTGTTATCTTTAAAATGAGCTCCTGAAAGTTGAGGAGGATCAGAAGGCTCACTTCATCAGGAAAGGAACAAGAGGCTGGTTTTTGTTTTCTTTTGAAAGAAGTGCCTTCAGCTTATGTAGAAAAAGACAGAAAGGTTTGAGGACGGAATAAGACCGAGCTGCCGTTTCCCCCCAGCCTGGTGCCTTCCAGGAGTTTTCAGTTTCAACAGAATGAGGGCAATGGGGGCCCAAAACTTCTGGAGGCCCCCTGGTTGAGCCAGGATTGGGGCAGAGATTTATACCCAGTGATGTGGAGGGAGTATCAATAAAAATGAACGTATTCTGCCTCTTCTGTTTGGCAGAATGGGTCACTAGGAGGTTGAAGCGGCAAACAGACCGTTTTTTTTTAAGTTGCCTTTTGCACGATGGCTTCCCAGAATCTGGCTGGTTGGTTTGGCAGAATGGGTCACTAGGAGGTTGAAGCGGCAAACAGACCGTTTTTTTTTAAGTTGCCTTTTGCACGATGGCTTCCCAGAATCTGGCTGGTTGGGTTATATTTTTCTGCAAAATTCCAGGTTTTTGATACAAAATAAAAGAGGTTGAGTGCAATATAGAATGGATTCTTTTGCTAAGGAGCAAAAAACTCTGTGTGTGTGTGTGTGTTTTGTGTGTGTGTGTGTGTGTGTTGGGCAAAATTACAAGTGATTTTTGTGCATTTTTAATAGTTAATCCTTTTTTGCATGTTTACAGAAGTGTATTTTGAACAACTTGCATGTATACATATATATCGAGGGAGTTTTCTTATACTATTTTTCACTATTTTCAGACTGTGGATAAGTGAATCAGTGGATAGTGATCCTGTGGATAAAGAGAGGTTCTACTGTATATATTTTATTCCTTCTTTCACTGCCTCCCTTTCTCTCTCTTTAAAACCAGTCGAATTTTTTTTCTTAAGCACTGACTGTCCGGAGTGGAGGAAATGTCTTGGTTCCTTGTTACCCCTCTGGAGTGATCTACGACCTTCTGGAGTGCCTGTACCAGTACATAGACTCTGCTGGGCTCTCCAATGTCCCGTTCTACTTCATCTCCCCGGTCGCCAACAGCTCGCTGGAATTCTCCCAGATCTTTGCCGAATGGTAAGCACTCATGGGCCGTGTCCGCTGGCAGAGATGTTCAAAGCAAAGTATGCTGCTTCTGTACTGTCCCACAGCACTTGAAGCATTCCCTGGGCGGTTTATGGTTTTTGATTCTTCAGGCTACCCATCGTCCAACCCTCAGCAAGCTGGGCACTCCGTTGGCCAACCTTGGGCAGATCAAAGGCTGAGTTAACTCAGCGACCTGAGCCCGTTGGGATTGCACTCGGTATAAGAAACACAGCAAACCTGATCAACTCAAGTCACGAGCAGAGTCTTTACTGCAGTACTGCACTTTAGCCACTGTGTCGCCAGGCTCTCTTCGGCTCCTCCGCCTTTTCCCGTTCCTCCTCTCTCCTTCTGCCCCTTCCTCCTTCCCCCTTTCTGTGACTTCTCTTTTGATAGCTTCTGCTCGAGCAATTTTCAGCATCAACATTTGGTATAAGAAACACAGCAAACCTGATGAGCTCCAGAATCTGGTTTCATGAGAGAGAACAGAGCTTAATGGCAGGATTCTTGTTCCGCCTACAGACTCAGCATAACAGCAACATAAGAATAACATACATAAAACTCATTCAGACAGTGGTTAAATTGCAATGTTGCAGTGAAGACTCTGCTCATTACCTGAGTTCAGTCCTGGGCTCAGCTCAGGATTGACTCAACCTTCCATCCTTCTGAGGTCAGTCAGTTGAGTACCCAACGTGCTGGGTGGGTGGGGGGCAGTGTGTAGGGCTGCATAATCAAATGGTAAACCGCCCAGAGAATGCTTTATATACCATGGAGTGGTATAAAAGCAGCACACTTTGCCGTCTGTATTTGTCTATTTTACAAGGTGAGTATCATTTAAAAAAACCTCTGTAGTCACTTAGGCTGAAATCCTGTTGCAAAAAAAATTGCATTTGTAAGGGCAGTTGTGCAGGTCGTGCTTGTGGATTTTCTCATTGAACATCTGTAGACACAACCGGATGTCCAGCTAAGGGACAAGCAGGTGTACAACGGGCAGACAGTAAAATATCTACCCCCCTTTGTGCAGTTACTTTTATGCAATCCCATAACCTGAAATACAATTCAGTCTTGGAATGGTATATAAGCAGCACACTTTGCCATCTGTATTTGTCTGTTTTACAAGGTGAGTATCATAAAAAAAAACCTCTGTAGTCACTTAGGCTGAAATCCTGTTGCAAAAAAAATTGCATTTGTAAGGGCAGTTGTGCAGGTCGTGCTTGTGGATTTTCTCATTGAACATCTGTAGACACAACCGGATGTCCAGCTAAGGGACAAGCAGGTGTACAACGGGCAGACAGTAAAATATCTACCCCCCTTTGTGCAGTTACTTTTATGCAATCCCATAGTCTGCGAGGGGAGGGCGCGAAAATGGCTGCCGGCATCGCTGTACGGTAAGTAAACGTGCCGATTGGAACACATTAAACGTAGTTTAATGCGTTTCAATGGCTTTTTTACTTCCGTACAGCGATGTTTCACACAGCGAGGGTTAATCCGGAACGGATTAACCTTGCTGTGCGAGGCGCCACTATATTGGTATTTTTAATGTGTGCTGTTTTGTTAGTTTTCCTGTGAGCTTTTGTGCAGTTACTTTTATGCAATCCCATAACCTGAAATACAATTCAGTCTAAGACCTGGTGGTCTTAGAGTGGCTTGTGAATTCAGAATTCTTTTGCTTTGCTCATCTGTCTTAATGTCCAAACCAAAATAGTTAAAAGAGAGGCTGTTTTAGCTTCTTCTTTTTTTTTAAATTAGTGGTGGAAGACTGCAGTGCTGTCTTTCACAGTAGTTCTGCACGAAGAAAAGCTCTGTGACTTCCCACTGTAAAAAAAAAAGTTGTAATTTGATTTGCTTTCAAATTATTTCTAGCCCAATTGTTTCAATATTATAATTTAATTGTGTTCCAATACTGTAATTCCATTGGGTTCTGGCTTCCAAAATATTGGTATTTTTAATGTGTACTGTTTTGTTAGTTTTCCTGTGAGCCACCTTGAGTCTCATTTTCAGGAGAAAAGCAGGATATTTTAAATGGGAGGGAGGCAGATGTCAAAGGCGGCTGTCTTGCTTAAAAACCACTGCAGGAATGTCTTAAAGCCTCAGTGCCAGCCTTCCCCAGGCTGGTCTGCACCTCGTGGACTAAAAAGCCCATCACCTCTCTGCCCAGGCGCAGTGGGTGATGTGGTTTATCTCAAGCATGTTTGCTTGGAGATTTATGCAATAAGGACTGGAACAGAGCCCATCTCTGAGATGTTGGGGGTGCTTTGCCAAGGAGTCAGTGTCAACTTCATCTTCTTTGGAGGGGGATGCCAAAAAAGACCTCCCCCCCCCCAAAGTGGCAGGGCTCATAGTCCGATACGGCCACAGAATTTCACCCCTTTTTCATCCGTCTGAACAGTAGATGGCAGCAGAAAGCTGCATTGGGTTGCTTTGTAAGTTGTAAATGTAAAAACAGGCGATACCTTTATAGGTAACTCATCACACAGTCGTTGTAATGGTCGTTTCTTTTTGCTCTTCCTCTTCTTCTCTCCTCACCCCAACCTTCAGGTTGTGTCACAATAAGCAGACAAAGGTGTACCTGCCGGAGCCGCCCTTCCCGCATGCGGAGGTAGGTGAACAGCACAATCTCAGAGAAGATGGAAGGATGCTGGGAGAGGCTTTCACGCTGACCAGTCTTGTCTAGAGAGAGAACCTTTCTGGAAATGTTGACGCCATGGAGGAGAGGGAGAGAAGTCACCCAAGGGGTTTTTTTTGGGGGGGGAGGAGGGATATTATTGATCGATGGATTGGAATTGTATACTGCCCCATTAGAGCGAAGCACTATTCTGAGTGGTTTACAGCAGAATAATCGAACAGGACAAACATGACGATTAAAAATAAAACCAAGGAACCAATAAGGCCAGATGCCATGAGAGGCCTAAATTCAAACTATAAGGCAGCACAAAAAGCTTACAAATCAGACTGGAATGCCTTAGAAAGCCTTTCTATAGATCAGTGATGGCGAACCTATGGCCCGCGGGCCACCTATGGCACGCAGAGCCCCTTCTGGGCACGCGAGTCATAAGTTGCCATCAAGAAATTCTTACCCGTCCTCCAATCCCTGATTTTGGGAAGAACACGGCAGTGGCCACTACCACCACAAGCGTGCGCGCACACACACAGTGGTGCCACAGCAAAGAAGGCCCCGCTTCCCATAGTTCTGGCCTCCTTCGGAGTGGCCATCCAGAGGAGCAAAGCCTGCGAAGATCTGGTGGAGCAGGTAGATTCCCCAGGGGGAAAAGGCACTCCAATAACTACCGTGGTCTCAAACTGTGTTTTTTATATCAGCATGAAAACCTTGAACCTCCCCCGGGACACAAAATGCACATTACAGAACCCTTCTGTCCCTGGGTAGCTACCGGAAGAAAGGACAGGCAAACGACCTCTGAGTACTCTTTACCCACAAAAAGCCTGGGTCGTGTTCACCATAAGTCAGAATTGGTGAAACACAGTTATTGGCTCAAATCCTGTTGCTTAGCATAGTCATTATCGCTAGAGTAGCCCCATTGAATCAAGAGGAGAGTGGGTGAGTCAAGCCTTCCCATCATTTCCGTTGGTTTAAATGGGCTGACTCTAACTGCGACTTACTTTAGTAGAGTGAGTCATAGTTAGAATAGGCCCATTTGAATCACTGGAAACTATGGAAGAGTTGATCTTTAAATCCCAGCTGATTCTGTGGGCCTGCTCTAGAGTAATTTACTAAGCAAAGCAACAGGATTTGGGCCACCGTTACATAAACATGGCAGCAACTCCCCATTCCACCCACCCCACACCAACCTTAGAAATGTTATTTTGAAATCTTGGAGATTCTTCTTAGAATGGGTTTAGTTAGATCTGAAGGAAATGGCGAATCATCATCATCATCATCATCATCGCGTGCCATCGAGTCAATTCTGAGTTATGGCAACCCCTTTTCAGGGTTTTCTGGGTAGAGTACACTTAGAAGTGGTTTACCAATCCCCTTGTGGGATTGTGCAGCTTGCCCAAGGCCACACAGGCTGGCTCTTCTCCCACGAGCCACAGCTCACTCTTTGCTACTTGTGACAATGGCGATTAAACTGCAGGACTGCAGGGAAAACTCTGCTCCTAACCTCGATTCAATCCCAGGTAGCCAGCTCGAGATTGACTCAACCTTCCATCTTTCTGAGGTCGGTAAAATGAGTACCCAGCTTGCTTGGGGAGGGTGGGGAGGGCAATGTGTAGGTTTTGCAATTAAACCGCCCTGTTGTAAACCGCTCTGTTGTTGTTGTTTAGTCGTTAAGTCATGTCAGACTCTTCGTGACCCCATGGACCAGAGCACGCCAGGCCCTCCTGTCTTCCACTGCCTCCCGGAGTTGTGTCAAATTCATGTCGGTCGCTTCGATGACCCTGTCCAACCATCTCGTCCTCTGTCGTCCCCTTCTCCTCTTGCCTTCACTCTTTCCCAACACCAGGGTCTTTTCCAGGGAGTCTTCTCTTCTCATGAGACAACCAAAGTATTGGAGCCTCAGCTTCAGGATCTGTCCTTCCAGTGAGCACTCAAGGTTGATTTCCTTCAGAATGGATAGCTTTGTTCTCCTTGCAGTCCAGGGGACTCTCAAGAGCCTCCTTCAGTGCCACAATTCAAAGGCATCAATTCTTCAGCAGTCAGCCTTCTTTATGGTCCAGCTCTCACTTCCATACATCGCTACTGGAAAAACCATAGCTTTGACAGTGCAGACCTTTGTCGGCAAGGTGATGTCTCTGTAAACCACCCAGAGAGTGCTTTAGGTGCAGTGGCATAATATATAAGCAGAAGGCTTTGCTTTTTGCGGTTTACATGGCTGATAAAGTTAACTAGCTAAAGAAAAACCTGCATCGTTGGTTTTGCCTGCCTGCCTTCCTGTTGTCTGTGTCCAAGCCAATCCTGATTAGAAGTCAAGCAACCTGTAGAGGTCAAAAGGAAGGACGTTTTTAGGTGACGGGATAAAGGGCGCAAAAGACAATCCATGCCACGCCTGCTTCCTTATTGATTTTCAAACCAAGATGTGCAGCTGGCTTGGCCTTTCTAGATGCGCACCTCGCACGAGATGGATTGCAACATATTTTGGCCACCCTGAACCAAGCCTACATGCGTTTATCCGGTTTTATCGCCTTCCTTTATTGACCTTCCAAATTACCTCTCCCTGGGAAGAGAAAGCCAGCGGTTGGGAGCTGCTTTTCCGAGAGGGGAGGTGGGTTAGCACTGCAATTTAGTTTGGACATAGATGTTTTGATCGCTTCCAACCCCCTGGGGGTTGTGGTCAATAAAGAATCTGCCCGTGGCAATAAAACATCCCTGGAAGTTGTTTCTAGTGTTGCCATAAATGGAAGCAGGGTGAAAGTAAGTCTGCATTCAGAAGCATTATCCAGAGAGAGAGAGAGAGAGAGAGCGTCTTTCCATTTAAACAAATGTTCAAAGAGTCTTCCATCAGAATATAAAAATAGTAGGAGTCAAATTAAAGCAGGCAGGAAAGCAGCAACCAGAAAGCTGCTCTTTCCAGGCAGTTGGGCCTATAAATCTTGGTTACAGCAACAACCGAGGATCTCGTGGCACCGTAAAGATGGATGAGTTTTACCTGGCATAAACTTTCACAGATTCTAGACCTCTTCATTGGATTCTGCCATTAAATGGAGTGGGTTCAGCCCAGAAGAAGCCATGCAGGATTTGCTGTAAGGTGTACTTAAATTCGCACCAATGACTTGATTTGTGGTTTTTTTTATGACTCAGGCTTGAATCACGATTCAGAACCCACCCACCCCTCTCTCTCTTTTTGCTGGGGTAAAAAGCTTGTTTTTAATAAGGACCAGGTGTGGTGTTTGGGACTTGGTCCCAAAGACTTGAACCCAGACCCCAAGACATCCATGATCTAGGGCGGCCTTTTAAAAACAGCTCAGAATCTACAAGTGGTCCAAAATGTGGCCGCCACAGTTCCTTGGTCCCTGTACCTAGGAGCTGTGCTGGTGGTTTAGTCGTTCAGTCATGTCCGACTCTTGGGTTGACCTCATGGACCAGAGCACGCCAGGCCCTCCTGTCTTCCACTGCCTCCCAGAATTTGCAGGACACCTCAGCAGCGGCCAAAATATTAGAGGATGCGAGTCTGGTGTGACCTGATTTCCTGAGGTTGCCTATATATTTCTGGGCACAAGTGAGACGTAGGCTGTTCCCCTAAGGCCAGCTAGCAAGCTGGGAGTCATGTGCCTGGAGAATCCCTGCCCCTGATGAGAGAGAGGCCGTCTTTGGGGGAGGATACGAAGGCCGCACCTTGAAAGACCTCCCGTTGCCAACAAAGGTCCGCATCTTCTAAGCTACGGTTTTTCCTGTAGCGATGTATGGAAGTGAGAGCTGGACCATAAAGAAGGCTGACCGCCGAAGAATAGATGCTTTTGAATTGTGGTGCTGGAGGAGACTCTCAAGAGCCCCCTGGACTGCAAAGAGAACAAACCTCTCCATTCTGAAAGAAATCCACCCTGAGTGCTCACTGGAAGGACAGATCCTGAAGCTGAGGCTCCAATCCTTTGGACACCTCATGAGAAGAGAAGACTCCCTGGAAGAGACCCTGATGTTGGGAAAGTGTGAAGGCAAGAGGAGAAGGGGATGACAGAGGACGAGATGGCTGGACAGGGTCATCGAAGTGACCAACATGAATCTGACTGAGCTCCGGGAGGCAGTGGAAGACAGAAGGGCCTGGTGTGGGGTCACGAAGAGTCGGACACAACTTAATGACTAAACAACAAAATGAAAGCCGCAGGCAGAAATGCTCCGCTTTCTTTACTTTTCTTCCCAGGCACTGCTGGCTGCCTTTCTAGCAGCATTTCTTGAATCAGTCTTGCTTTGTCAAAAGAAACACCTTTCTGCTACTCTGGGAAAAGGGCTTATTTCTGTTATTCCCACCACCACCCCAGAAATTTCAAGCCCTGCTTCCCGTCCGTCTGTCTCTCCCACTCCCCACTGTGGTTTTTCTGGAGATGAAATTCATATTTTTTTCAGAATTGTGCTTGTCTAATATACGGTCTACTGAGCAGGCAGCTCTTGTTGCTGGAGGTAACGCTTGCATATTGAGCAGCACGCTTTATCGGCTCCAGTCAGAAATCTCTTCCGTGCTTAATTACAGGAGCATTTGAAAGACTAAGGGCTTATTAACTTCCAGCACATATTGTGCATGCATATTTAAATTCCACACTGGGAACCTAAGAAGGGATGATGAGCAGAGAAACTGTGAAAAGGAACTCTCACCCGCTTGAGTTCAACTGCTAGAAGTAGATGCGCGGAATTGATGTGCTTTACCCAAGTGTTGATCGTTTCAATGGGCGACTCTCATTGAGACCAGCTGCAGTCCAAGGTAGACCAGCCTCGGGCTCCAGATCCCGGAATCCTCTAGCCACCCATGGCCATGGGGGGGGCATCTGTATATTTTGGGAAACGCTGGCCAAAATGCATCATTAGAGTAATAACTGCTTTAAAGTGTTTTAAATGGTGGCCTTCCTGTTTTGCAGCTAATTCAGACCAACAAATTGAGGCATTATCCCAGCATCCACGGGGACTTTAGCAATGATTTCAAGCAACCCTGTGTGGTGTTCACCGGTCACCCCTCCCTTCGGTTTGGGGACGTGGTGCATTTCATGGAGCTGTGGGGGAAATCCAGCCTCAATACGGTCATATTTACAGGTAAGAGTTTTAGAGTAGCTCAGGGCAAAAGCCTGTCCCAGCTGTTAATCTGAGCACTTCCTAGATGTCGCTTCTAAGAAGAAGGAGCTGTTTGAAGAAAGCCTTTCCAGGAATCTTGCAGAAAAATCAGATAAAGTAGAATCTTTTATAAGAATGCCAGTTGGGTGGAGTTTTGGCCCTCTGTCTTGGCTCACTGTCTCGTAAAATAGTTTTTGCAGAGAGAACGTTACACAGTTTCTGAAACAAGTTGCACCCTTCTCTTTTTTTTAGCTAGAGATTTATTGATTATTATTTTTTTGGCTTAATGTAACATATGGGCATCTTTCAGCTTAACCGGTTGGATGGATGGATGGGTTTGTGGATGGATGGATGGGTGGAAGGATGGATGTAAAATCCTTTTACTCTGCCTTTCTCCTTAAAAAGACCTAAGGCATCTCACATCATTAAAAAGACTAAAAGCTAATAACAGCAAGTTTGCAAATATTTAAAAAGAATTAAATAAGTATACTAAAAACAGTAATTAAAATCAATACTAAGTACATATTTAAAAGTTACCCGGGGGTCACATTCCTGTGAGTCAAAGATTTTTTTGTGTCTCTCATGGGAAACAGAGAGAGAAGGATTTCGAAAGGGGGAAAGAAGTCTTGGAGTCAAAACCAAAACAAAAGACAAAGAGGACATGTTTTGTTTGGTTGGGTGGTTTGTACTCCAGCTCCCAGAATCCTCCAAGGAATCCTCAGGTAGAGTTTAAAGAGTTCCAGAACACAGACCTCACCTGCAAACACCTACTTTTGCTCACCTAGCCTGGGGCCTCGCTCTTGAGGTGGCTTGGCTGCTTCCTGGGAGCGGCAGTGTCGCTGTCTTTAAGCTCTGTAGAGGGCGCCTCCCAAAGAACTATGACACCCACAAAACAACATGGGCAACTTCCTTTTCTGGACCGAAACACAGGCCCAGGACAACCAAGCCGCCTTGGAGCTAAGCCAGGTAAGTGGTCCAGGTAAGGGAACGGCAGGTGTCTCTAGGTGGCTATGAGCCGGAACTCCCAGAATCCTGCCTGGGGAATTCTGGGAGAAATCCGGGAGCTGGAAATCTCCTCCCTCAACCAGAAAATGGATGGCATGTCCCCTAGAAGCCGTCGTCTTGACTTTTGAAAGGGCTGTTAGTGACAGAGGCTTTTGGAGGTCACTAATTCGGCTGGGTCACCCTAAATAGGGAGTTATTTGATGGTACATAAATGGCCTTGGGGGGGGGGCAACACTTTTCCTACCTATGCCTGAAATTCCCCCCCCTTTGTTGAAAAAAAGGAGCTATATAAAATACTTCTGTTTTATAAACAGAAAATCATCTTTAAAAATCTTTCTTTCTTTTGTCCAGATTTAATTTTTCTTGCTAAATGAAGCGTCCTGTTTCTTGCTTCAAGTCACGGTTAAAATATAGGTTGCTTTATGTGATAGTGCAAAAGCGTTAAAATGTCTGGAGATTTTCACTGGAAGCTCAAGATGTGTGTCTCGCCCCCTTCCTCCACCTTCCACACAGCATCTCTTGATTAAATTTGCAATAATAATTTTAAAAAACTGATCAGGGCTGTAATCCTTTCCTGATGAATTGGCGTTGTTCTCTAATTTGATTGAGATGAGACTAATTGTGATGCTAATTTTCATCAAGTTAACTGTAGAGAGCCGTAATACCCTTTCTCCATCCTTAAAGCCCTCCCAGTGTGTTAGACTACAACTCCCATCACCACTGGCAGGACAGCTGGCTGGGGATGATGGGAGCTGTGTTTCTGGCTGGAGTAAGAATGAACTAGGACCTTTTAAAAAGGTTTAAAAAATGGCAAAAATGTTCATTCCAGAGTTTTGAAATGTATTCCACAATCTATATGCATCGCTTCTAGATCAATGGTTCCGAACCTTGGGTCCCCAGAGGTTCTTGGACTACAACTCCCAAAAGCCTTCACCCTCTAGCTCTGTTAGCCAGTGTTCGTGGGAGTTGTAATCCAAGATCCTCCAGGGACCCAAGGTTGGGAACCACCGTTTTAGAGCATCCTTGCCATTGGTTCCGAGCTCTGGTTTAATTTTCAAGTTTAAGGAAACGACAAAGTTATTTGTGTCTTGCCTTTTTTTTTTTTAATGTTGGTAAGAAACAGGCCTCCCAGAGGAAGAGGTGCAAGGGAAACGGGCAATGCAAAAAACAAAAACAAAAAACACCCTAATTCTCTCTCTATTTTCAGAAAGAGCCCTTAAAGGTGGAATTCCGTTGTGTCTCTCGACTCCTAACCCACCATCGTAAATTTCCCCCAGTGTCTCCAACACCGGCTGTGGTGGCAGAGTAACTGGGATTACACAGTGGGCTGGATCCTGATACTAGGCCTGGCATTTCCCCCCATCATACCATGTACTATGTACAGGCAATATGGAATAAAGGAACCCCCCGGTTCTTGCTGAAACGTCACCATCCCATCTCCCACGGCCTGTGCCCATTCTCTCCACCACACCTGCTTGTACAGGTCAGGTTTCATGACCGGTTCATCCCCAACGTCCCAAATTTGGGGCATCTTGAGCCCTTCCCCAAGGAGGAAGCCCATGCTGCTGACCCTATAAGAATCCTGACCCTGCAGAAGAACGAGCGGGCTTAGCCAAGGCCTCTGGATGCCTGCATTTCAACGCCGTGAGCCAGAATACCACGGATGTTCACCTAAGGCTTGCATCATTTGCCGCAGCGACTTGACGAGGTGCCGAGGCACATCCCAGTTGCAGCATGGGGCCCATGCCTGAGACATGCCCCAGCCTCTCATCAAGTAGCCACAATTAGCTGTGGCAAGTTACAGAAAACCTTACACCGGCGCCGCCAATAGCGTCTGAATGCATCTCCCCCTTTTTTCTTTCCTTTTCCACAGAGCCCGACTTCTCTTACCTGGACGCGTTGGCTCCCTACCAGCCTCTGGCCATGAAATGTGTTTACTGCCCCATTGACACCAGACTGAATTTTATCCAGGTGTCCAAGTTACTCAAGGAAGTACAGGTAAATTGGATGAGGCTCTTTGGCAGCCATTCTCTACTCTTCCTTTTGGCCATGGCCAGAAACAGAACATGGTTGATTCAATGAACAAGGTTGACTCAGCCTTCCATCCTTCTGAGGTCGGTAAAATGAGTACCCAGCTTGCTGGGGGGGCAATGTGTAGCCTGTATAATTAAAAATTGTAAACCGCCCGGAGAGTGCTTGTAGCGCTATGGGGCGGTATATAAGTCCAATAAATAAATAAATAAATAAATGTAAAAAAAAAAACAGGCTGAATCAGGATTGTATAAGTTGCCTAACAAAACTTATATGATGGCGCATGAGGAAGTGTTTCCGGTCTGTGGCCCCCTTCAAATATGCAAGCCTCCCCCTCCGGGAGGGGGAATTGGCCCTCATTGACTGTTAGGACTGTTATCACATCATCCCACTGGGATAATGGCTAGAACAGAGGGTCACCTCCAGATTTCAGTGGCTGCATGTCGTAAAATTGGAAGACTCCTCCCAGCTCAGCTACTCCAACCTGCAAGTGGAGGACTGGACATCTAGGTCTAGACAGTCCCCAGAAGCCACTCTCCAGTAAGGAAAGGGGCCATTCTGGCTGGAAGGGATGGGAAACTGTAGTCCAGGACAGCTAGAAAGAAAGACAAAGTGGTGTAATAGAAATAGTGTCAGGCTAGGCTTCAAGACTTGTGTTCAAATCTCTCTTCAGCCACAGATACTCACTAAGGCAATAGTAAATCATGCCATGAACATCTTGTGTACCTTGAAGGCCATATTTGGGTCACCACAAGTCAGAAGCGATTTAACAGGCTCTAACAAGGGGCAGGATCTGTTGTCAATCATCCCTGAGTGCGGGACACGCAACAGTGAGCTGAAGTTCAAAGGTAAAGGTTCCCCTTGACATTTAGTCCAGTCGTGTTCGACTCTAGGGGGCGGTGCTCATCCCCGTCTCCAAGCCGAAGAGCCAGCGTTTGTCCGAAGACAGTTTCCGTGGTCACGTGGCCAACGCGACTTACACACAGAATGCTGTAACCTTCCCACGGAGGTGGTCCCTATTTATCTACTTGCATTTGCATGCTTTCGAACCGCTAGGTTGGCGGGAGCTGGGACAAGGCGACGGGAGCTCCCTCCGTCACGAGGATTCTATCTTATGACTGCAGGTCTTCTGACCTTGCAGCCCAGAGGCTTCTGCAGTTTAACCCACCACGCCACTACATCCCTGAAGTTACACAAAGCCAAATTTCAGTTGAATATCAGGAAAAACTTCTAAACTTTTAGAGCAGTACAACTACAGAACCCATGACCTCAAGAGGTGGTAAATGCTCGAACACTGGAGCCATTCAAGAGAAAAAGGGACCATCCTCGGTCAGATATGCTTTGATTTGAATTCCTGCCTTAAGCAGGGGGTTGGAGTGGATGTCCTTATAGACCCCTTCCAACTCAGTTCTTCTATGATTCTATGATTTAGAAAGCACCAAATCAGGGAAGGCTGTTGGGTATATTAATTGTTACCTTGTTTACCTCTAGAAAGACTGCTGGGTCTGAATGTCAGCCTTTGGCCTTTTTCTTCCTCAGCCTCTCCATGTGGTTTGCCCAGAGCAATACACGCAGCCCCCACCGACCCAGTCTCATCGCACGGACCTGATGGTTGATTGCCTACCCCCACCCATGTCCTACCGCCGAGCGGAAGTGCTGACTCTTCCGTTCAAGCGCCGCTATGAGAAGATTGAAATCACACCAGAGGTGAGTTCATTGGGTTGAATGCCAGGGGGAGGGGGGGACTGGCAGGTTTTTGAGATAGTGTGTCTGAAGACATTAAGAAAAGCCTTAACAGGTCACTGATGGAAGGGGCAATGAAGGGGGGGCATAAATATTTGGATATTGGATTAAATTTCCAGGCTTCCGTTGGGAAGATCTCAGGGCAGAATGGAGGGGAGATGGTTATGTTCCCCTCCGGGGTGGGGGAAAATGGTGGATGTTCATTGAGGAGTGTTTGGTGGTGCTGAATGCATAAGAAATTGAAATGCACGGAAATGTTTTACATTTTCCATATGTTTCTAAAAGTTTGGAAGACCCATGGTAAGGTTCTGTCAGAAAAAACAGAACTTGGGCTAGGGGGCCTGCCATGTCTTTATAATAATCCCTTTATTTATGGATATATATCTTGAGCAGGAAATGACCAAGAAGACTGTGCAAGAATAGAATATAACTTTTATTGAAGAGATCTTCAAGAATAATGAGTGTTGTGGTTTGCTTGTTGTCCTGGCTTGTATTTTAATGCTTTTTTTTTCTGCTGCTTCGTTTTGTGGGTAGGGGTAATTAATAGTAATGCGGAATTTAAGGGTCCAGAATAAGTAAGCTGACGTACACCAATATCAGACCAACATGCGCCATCTCCCAAATCCCAAATTCAATTTTTTTCCCGTGCCTTCTGAATCCTTTTCTGCCAACCACAGTTCGTTTTAGGGATAGTAAAATTTGTCAGTTTTACCTTCTCCTGCACCTGGATTTTAAAAACCTGACATTCTTTCCTTCCTGAATATAAAGCTTGTAAATTTTGGCACAGAGAAATCTATTCTTCCTGCTTTAAAGGTCTGAAAGATGAGGAATTTATCAAGCCAAAAGGGTGGGAATCCTATTCCAGCACTAGATGTGTGGCTGAATCAGAGAAGTACCCACCCAAACTTTAAAGATTTAAACACCCAGGGGTGGAAAAATGTTTCCATTGTGGTTCCTTCTTCTGCATTCCAATTTTTAAAAACTCACTCTATTTTCACCACAAATAGGAATAAATTTAGGAAGTTCTTAACCAAAAGGTTCTGACACTCACCTACAGAGCCCTCCACGGTTTGGGCTGATGTGACTTGTCGAAGCGTCTCTCCTTCATTTCATTCGCCCAACCCACAAGATCATCCCAGTCGAGGCTCCTCCGGAGGGGCCACCCCGAGGGAGCCCCATCGATCCTCTGGAAGAGGGTAGGGCCTTCTTCGGGGTGGCTCCCACTTTATGGAACCAGCTTCCAGAGGAGCTCTGCCTAGCCCCCTCCCGGTGGACTTTTAAGAAGCCATTAAAGACACTGCTTAAACCCAGCTGACCATCTTCTCCCCCATTTTTTTCTTTCCCCTCATTCTTTTCTCCCCTCTTTTCCTCGGTCTCCTCTGGGGATTAGTCAGTGCCATCTGGTTGGTTTTTTTTTAAGTTATTGTTGCTGCTTTTAATGTTTCTATTTTTATTTTTGTTTTCAATTATATGTGTTGTCACCCACCCAGAGTAGTGCTGTGACACTAATGGGAATGAATGAATGAATGAATGAATGAATGAATGAATGAATATGTGTATATATGGTAAAGGTAAAGGTTCCCCTTGACATTTAGTCCAGTTGTGTGTCTGACTCTCGGGCGCGGTGCTCATCCCCGTTTCCAAGCCGTAGAGCCAGCATTTGTCCAAAGACAGTTTCCATGGTCACGTGGCCAGCGTGACTAGACACAGAACACCGTGACCTTCCCACCAAGGTGGCACGTATTCATCAACTCGCATTTACATGCTTTCAGACTACTGGGATGGCAGGAGGTGAGACAAGTATCTATACCAGGCTTCCGTTGGGAAGATCTCAGGGCACCACTGTATCTATGTGAGAGGAGACTAAATTTTCCTCCATTCCTGGCTTAAGTCCCGACACAGGTTTGTAGGTGTGACTTGCGTTTCAGGTGCTTGGAGTCTGGGACCTATTTTTGGAGTCACCCAGAATCCCACGAGTCGTTTGGCCAGCAGCCATTCTGGGTTGACAGATTTCACAGAAAGTGTTCTCGAAAAGCAGTCATTTTTTTCTAATCATGGCAGTAACCGTGTAAGCAAAGAGCTATTAATCTGCGTGTCTTAATAATAATCAACAGTTGAACAGAATGCTGTGTTGTATGTTGTGTTGCAATATAAAAACCAATTTAAAAGCAAGTGTTTTTTTATCAAACCCGCCTTAAAAGAGTGCAGGGCAGGACAATGCTGCCTTCTGATCTAACATTCTGAAACTTTATTGGGAGCCACCTTCACACTTTTAGAAAGGACTAAGTAACTAGAACAGCCGTTTTGTTTTGTTTTTAACAGCAGCTCAAAGGGGTGTTGTTTAGTTGGGACCATAAAGATGCAACACGGAGCCATGTGTGCAATTAAGCAGCTTCCCGAACGAACGCAGACTTCCTTAACTGCCGAAACTTCCCTTTTCAATTTCAGTGGGAGCAGCGATTTGCATGCAAAGAACCGATTTGCCTGTTTACTAGCTGGGAGGGTGTTTTTAATTGGGAAGAAAATTAATTGGAGAAAGAATAGTCTGCATACATTTGCGAATCTCCCATCCTACTCAGAGATTCCCTACAGGCCAAGCCAGAAATGTGGGATGCTGAACTCTTTCTGCCTTAACCCGATGTAGAGGGATGCCTTGATTCATATGCACCGCTCAGGTGTTGGTGGAGCCTCTGTGCTTAATTTCCCAGTGGAAAGATTTTGGTTTGCTTGGAAGGCGCCGAACGCCTACAGAATTAGACCCAGGAAACCAAACTGCCTCGCCCTCCTTTGTTATTTCTCTGTGCTTCTCATTCAAAGTTACTTACGCAGCCATTTCTGCCCGAACCACCCACCTTCTCCAGCGGATCATTACCCCTCAGAGGTGGTTACACACAACAATCATCTCCGGACATCGTGGCATACAGTCAAGGAAGAGAAGATGTGTAGAGGGGAACGTGGGTTCCTGGATCCACGTTAGGGGATTTGGTGAGGGTGGCACCGAGGAGCCTCAAAAAATTAGTCGGCTGAACTTACAAAGCCAGTTTTTTTCCCCAGTTATATCCCTGCTCTACCTAACTCGCTGTGGTTTGTCATCTGGAGCCTCAGCCGTATCGTTCTGCATTCTGAGCCTCCTTCGCTGTAGCCTGCAGCTGTTTGAGCCCGAGAGCTTATCAATGCACCATCTGTTTCACACCACAGAGAAAGGAAAGGGGTCTCTGGACGGCATCTACCCCATTGCAGTGGGGGGGGGGAGAGCAAAGGAAGCCTGTAACCCGGTTAATAAAATAGTGCAGCAAAATTTGCGACTCCCGCAGCTCAGTTATGTCGGGGGTTTGGGGACAGCAACCATCGGAATGGCTGGCAGATTCTCGAAGCAGTAGACAGGGAAGTAAATTTCCCAAGCTCGGGAATCCTTTAGACCTGGGGTCTCCAAACTACAGCCTGTGGGCCACAATCCGGCACGCCTGGCAATTTTATCCAGCCTGTTCCCTTCAGTGCGTGCCCGTAGAGGGGAGGCGGCATGGGTGCAGCAGGCGGGGAGGGCGTGCGTGCCTGTGGCACATGTTTCTATTCTTTCGACCCTCAAAAATGTTGGAAATCTCCGGCTTGGCCCTCATGCTCAAAGGTTTGGAGACTCCTGCTTTAGACACTGGAGTTATGTCATAAGAAGAGTCCTGTTAGAGTAGCCCCTCTCTAATCCACTTTTCTGTTCACTCCTTTGCCGGTTAAAGAAGCACATGGATAGTCCACGAGCACAACTCCATCTTCCTCCCTCCTGCCTTCCCCAGCTCTTGGTACTGAGATGCACACCATCTCTAACCCTGGATAGGTAGCCTTCTTAATTCGTAGCCCGCCAATGACCCTCATCTCCGTGAATCCATCTTCCTCCTTTTGGAAAGCTTTCCTCATTAGCAGCCCTCACTCCATCCTGTGGCTGTGAATTCCGCAGGTTAACGATGCCCACCTGTCACTGTATGTATAAGCAGCCTGGCTCCCGTTTCAGTCTAGCGTGTCCAGTTAGTCCAGTTAGGCTGAGCCTCGTACACTGTGAACATCTCATCTTTGGGTGAGAGAGAAACTGGCTGGAGGTCCCTGAAGTGTATAAAAGATGCCATAAAAGGTCCCTTTGAATGTATAGAAAGTTGCCATGATATCTCACGCTTATGTCTGAAGAAGTGGATTTTATCCACTAGAGCTCACATTAAAATATAACACGTCATCTTTAAAAGGCCTCCACGTTTTTGTCTTTTTTTCCAATCATGTGTTGTTTTTTAATTTATTTTTCTGGGGTTCCTTAAGGACTCGGATGTGAGCTAACTTGCTGATCCATTTGTAACCAGACTCAACTGCCCTGTCCTCGCCTCTGGTGTCTATACGTCAGCTTTTTTCACGGCATCCTTGGGAAATTAACTTCTGTGGGTTTATCAAACTGGCACAAATAAGGAAAGGCGGCCCGCAGTTTTATTCCTTAAACGTTTCAAGAAGCCCTTGAGACTCATTACAGTTTCTGTAGCAGCAAAATAGCTTTAATGATGTCTGTGATGAAAGGCTTTTTAATAATAACTTTTTTAAAAAAACACCACTCCATACCCCCATCTCAAGAAAAAGAAAGAAAAGGCAGCTAAGAATTATACTCACAAATCTTCCGCAGGCCGGATTCAGCTGCTCTTGTGTGCCAGGGTTGAGGGTGCAGAACTCAGCAGAGCTAGCTCGGCTTTGCAAAAGGGTCTCATCCTGCTGCTGGAACTGCAGGTCCTGCTGTTATTGATCCTAGATTCATGGAGTTGGAAGGGGCTTCTAAGGCCATCAAGTCCAACCCCCTGCTCAAGGCAGGAATCTTAAGTCAAAGCAGGTCTGATAGACATTTGTCCAATTTTCTCTTCAATGCCCAATGGTCGAAGTCCCCCACGGATGCTGAAGAACGCTGATTATATTGAATGCTATACATATGTAGTATGGTCTCCAGCTCCCTCAAGTGGACAGTTCTGGTAATGTCGCCTTTAGAAATACATGTTTTTAGGGATTTTAATATTTTTAAATCATAAAGTGAATAAGTGGATACTGATCCCGTGGATACGGGGGTCCTACTATATTGTCAGAACTACTGTTTATCTTTGTTTCTGTTTACTGTGAACAATACTGGTACAGTTCTTATGTCTGGAAAAGTGGCCAAAAAAAAGTGGAAAAGCCGCCTAGAGTGGTCGAAATGGCTAGATAGGCGGGGTATAAATACAATAAACAAACAAACAAACAAACAAACAAACAAACAAACAAACAAACAAACAAACAATGCCTAGGCCAGAACCAGTGTGGAAGCCAAACAGCATCACTCAATGCAAATTCCCTCCCTGTTACTTGGGTTTTTGGCTGAGTGACAACCCACCAGACTGTCTGTGGGCATCTTCCGCTCCTCCTGGAAGGTGTCCAATTTTCCTTGGACGCCGTGCAAACGAGTGGCTCTCTTTGCACCGTGAGGCCCCGGAAGGAGTTGCAGAGAAGAGCAACAAAAGATGATAAGGGGACTGGAGGCTAAATCCTGCAAAGAACGACTCAACTAGGGATGTTGAGCTTAACGAAGAGAAGACTGAAGGGAGACACAATAGCTGTCTTCCAATATCTAAAGGGCTGTCACAGAGAAGAGGGCATCGATTGAGTCTCCATTGTGCCCGAGGGTAGGACAAGAACCCGTGGGTGGAAACTCCTCAGAGGGAGAGCCAAGCTGGAAATCAGGAGGAATTTCCTGACGGTGAGAAGCATGAAGCGGTGGAACAGCTCGCCTCCCGATCGTTTGGGTGCACCATCGCTGGAGGTGTTCAAGAAAAGATGGGACAGCCATCTGTCCAGGATGGTCTGAGGTCCGGGATGGTCTGAGATCTCCTGCCTTGGGGAGGAGGTTGGACTAGAAGACCTCCAAGTGTCCTTCCAACCTTAGCGACGATTCTATGATTCTATGAACTATCATAAATGAATGGTCGATCCCCTCACGGCACCCTTTGTTTCCCTGTTGTCGTTGACAGACAAGGTTGCGTGTCTGCAAGAGGATAAACCAAGAAAGGACCGGCTTGAGATCAGGGCCTTGGGAGAAGGGGCAGCTTCTCCTTGATTGAGAACACAGAAATCGTAGCCGTGCATTGCTCTGGCCCAAGGTCCCTGTTACGGACTCTTGCTCTCCCCTCTCGTGCCATGAACGAGTCCCGTGGCCAGGGAGGAAAGAAGAAAGGCAGAGGAGTCTGAATTACACGGCCCGAGTAAATCTCTTCTCTTCCTCCTCCTCCTCCTCTTTCTGCTGTTCCAAAAAGAAATGGAGTCGTATAAATAAAATATAACAGGAAACCAAATGTCTTTTTGCCCTCCCGCTTCAGGCAAGAGTCTTCTTGGCTGCTAATAGATTTATTTATTGGGGTGTAAGGGTGTTTGAAGCCCTGAGGCACACCTCATTTTTTATTGAAGGCCCTCCTTGCAGCAGCTGCCGTAGGGCGACTTCTATTTTCTTCTTCTTCTTTTCTTTAATGGCAGTGCCAGGAAGCTGGTTTTGATTTCAGACTAGGCTGTTTGAACACAGATCTGGTTTTGCGATGCATTAGGCTGGAAAGAACTCCAGAAGCGGCCACAGAACCATTAAGGAGTTATCCTTGCGCGACGAGAACCGGGTCATTTTGATGGTTGTCGGTTTTCTGCCGAGGAACGTTCAAGTTCCTTAGAAACGGGCCAGCAGTGTCCCGTTTGGGAAACCAGATGATAAGCCCCTTTGAGAGGAACTCAGCCCACCCTGGCAGATTACTGCAGGAAGGGTGAGCACACACACACACACACACAAACGCCCAGCCGCACCAGGCAAGGGACAATCCGAGTCCAGCATCCGATCCGATGGCCCGCAGCGATGAACCAGGCTCCTCGAAGCAGTCCACATGCAGGCAAAACGGCACTGCCATTTTCCACAGCTGCTCTCCAGAAATGGGTGGCCTAAGGCATGAAAGGGCTGTTCTGCTCTCTTAGAACCAGCCACTCAACCCTGAATGCCAAGCCTTGCTGGAATGATTTTGCACCATTTTGCTGACACCAGCTTAAATCGGCACTCAAGATTCTGGCCAGTATTTCGAAGAGGGCTGCAATACATGTTTGTAGAAAAGGCTGCCTGATTATTCCCAGCACCCTGAGGGAGCCACCAGGAAAAAAAACCCCAAGACCTTTCTTCACCATATCTTAGTGGTTCATCTCAGAGACATAGAATCATAGAATCATTGAATAGTGATGTTGGAAGGGGACTCTAAGGCCATCACGTCCGATCCCTGGCTCAGTGCAGGAATCCAAATCAAAGGATATCTGTCAGGTAGTGATCTAAGTTTCTCTTGAATGCCTCCAGTGTTGGAGCACTCACCACCTCTCGAGAAAATGGGTTCTCTTCTAACAGTTAGGATTCCAGTCCCCTGATCATCCTTGTTGCCCTCTTCTGAACTTCTTCCAATTCGTTAGCATCCTTCTTGAAGCGTGGTGTCCAGAACCGGGCAGAATACTCAAGGTGAGACCTAACCAGTGCTGAATAGAGGGAGACTAGCACCTTACGGGATTTGGAAACTATACTTCTATTAATGCAGTCTAAAATAGCATTTTGCAGCCCCATCACACTGCTGGCTCATATTTAGCTTGTGATCTATGTCAATTCCAATTCCAAGTTTTATCATAGAATCATAGAAAATGAAGTTGGCAGGAGCCTACAAGGCCATCAAGTCTAGCCCCCTACTCAGTGCAGGAATACGAATCAAAGCATATCTGCCAGGTGATTATCTAAGTTTTTCTTGAATGCCTCCAGTACTGGAGCACTCACCAACTGCTAAGGTCATTGGTTCCACTGTTGTACTGCTCTAACAGTTAGGAAGATTTTCCTGATATTCAATTGAAATCTGGCTTCCTGTAACTTGAGCCCATTATTACGTGTCCTGCACTCTGGGATGATTGAGAACAAATCTTACCTTTCCTCTGTAGGACAGCCTTTCAAATTTTGTAAAAGAGCTATCCTATCACCCCTCATTCTTCTTTTCTCAAGGCTGAACATGCCCAGTTCTTTCAGCCTTTCCTCATAAGGCTTGGTTTCCCGCCCCCTGATCCTCCATGTCGCCCTCCTCTGAACTTGTTCCAATTTGTTAGCATCCTTCTTCAAGTGTGGTGCCCAGAACTGGACACGATATTCAAGGTGAGGCCTCAGCAATGCCAAATAGAGGGGGACCAGCACCTCACGGGATTTGGAAATGATACTTCGGTTAACATAGTCAAAAACAGCATTGGCCTTTTTTGCAGCCACATCACATTTTTGGCTCATATTGAGCTTGTGATTTACGACAATTCCAAGATCCCTCTCGGTGGTACTATTGCTGAGCCACTGTCCCCCAAATGATGTGCTGGATGTCTTTTTCCGAGGTGCAGCCCTTTGCACTTATCCCTGTTGAATTTCACTCTGTTGTTTTCATCCCACTGCTCCAGCCTATCCAGATCATTTTGAAGCTGGTTTCCGTCTTCCGTGTTCCTGTTGTGCTTCTCCCTGTTTTTGGTTTCTGAGTGGCTCTTGTATCTATATATATATATATTGTTTTCAAAGCCCCCCTGTCTGTTTGGCTTCAGCTTGCAGAGTCCCTGGTGCCCACCGAGATGAAGCCGGGTGTTTCCCTGGCAACCGTCACAGCCGTTCTGCACACCAAAGACAACAAGCACGTGCTGCAGGTACTTGGCCAATGCTGCGGGGAGGGAGGAAGCCTGCACTGGCCCAGCAGGGGCATCATCCTCGTTGCAAATCAATTCTGACTTATGGCAACCCGTTTCAAGGTTTTCCAGAGAGAGAAAATGTAGTTTACCCTTCCCTTTCTCTAGGGGGCGTCCTGGGACTGCTGTGTCGCTGGCCAAGACCACCCAGGCTGGCTCTACTCCCAGGAGGCACAGTGGGGGGGGGGGAATTCAAACTCCCAACCTGTGCTTCCAAAAAGACCTAAACCACAGAGTTATCCAGCAGGAGAGGAGGAGAGCAAAAGGGCTTCAGCCCCTTTCTGAGTTTCCAAATTAAGTAGGAGTCATAACCAATAAATTCCAAGGAAACTATTAAACAAAGCTATATATATTTAGCTTTGTTTATATATATATATATTGCTGGCTTACACACAAAAAAGCTAGGCTGTTAAATTAATTGCATTTTAAAACAAACAGATGCCAGCTGATAAATGCCTGGGGCACCTCTGCCAGTTTATTTTGCAAACTTTTTTCCTTTTCTTTCCTATCTGATCCTTTATTCATTCATTCATTCATTCATTCATTCATTCATTCATTATTTATTTATTTACTTACTTACTTACTTACTTACTTACTTACTTACTTACTTACTTACTTACTTACTTACTTACTTACTTACTTACTTAGTTACTACATTTGTTTTTCTGCCAAACTGCAACTCTCTGCGAACCCTCGGAATGAAGTGGAAGATTTTTTTAAAACATCCCCACAGTAAGCCCGACCTGGCTTTAGAAGAGCAAATGACCTTCGATCGGCCGGCTTCAGCCCATGTTTCTCACCAGATGTGTTGGGAGTACAACCCCCATCATCCCCTGCCTTGTTGGGGATCATGGGAATTGTAGTCCCCTCTCCTCAAGTGCAGGAAGAGGAGAGCCAGACAGCTACAGTGTCATGAATCTAGCACTGGGGAGGTTCCACAGACAGGCACATAGCATTTGGCAGAATTTTTTTCTTTAAAAAAAAAGAAACACCTCTTTTTGCCTGAAACCCAGAGCTGAAATCTGAAAGGTGGTCTCCTAACCTAATGTGTTGAATTTTGGGGATGAGGGATCTTTCTTGTTGGGTCTTGAGCAGGGCAAAAATGCCATTTTTAAATTAGAGCTGTGAAATCCATCAAAAGAGTTTACTCTCTCTCCGTACAACTTCGGCTGGAGTCACCTTCCCCGTTTCTCCACTTTCTCTCTCTTTTGCCCCACAGCTTCCTCCCAAACCGCCCCAGCCCCAAACTGGCAAAAAGAGGAAACGGGTGACGGACGAGGTGCCGGAACTGAAGCCCGTCAAGCCTTTGCTCAGTGGCTCTGTCCCCGTGGACCAGCTGGTCCAGACTCTGGAGAAGGTAAGGGGAACACCTGGGAAAGTCCTCCTCATTTGTGAAGATGCCAGTCTCCAAACCCAACACCAGCTGGCTTGCTTTGCACTTTGAAATATTCATCTTCCTTTCCTTTTCTGAGCTTAAACCAGTGCCATTTATTTGCGGGAGGGCTACTAAACCAGCCCTTGTCTCGGGAGGAGGGCTCGCCCCAAACAGCAAAGCCAGTTTATTTCCTCCCCTAGAACCGAACCGGAAGCCGCAGAGCATCAATTTGGGTGTATCCATCCTGGACGTCTTCTCCTTCTTAAAGTGATGGCAGAGCACCTTTGAAAACTGACCTGAAAGAAGCAGGAAGAGGTTGAGGACGAAGGTTGGGTGTCGGTTATCTTGAGATCCATGGGAAGATAATAATCATGTCTGAATCTGCACGCTGCAGAAAACAAGGAACAAACGAGATCAGGGTTGTTTTATAATTTCTCAGACTACAGATCCCATAATTCTCCATTCTAGGAATTCTACTCAGATATCTTACGGACTCCTAAATAGGGTTCATTTTGGGGGGAAAGGCCTCAATGGGAAGACACCTTGACACTTAGCTAGGCCTTGCTCTCCTTAAGCTTCCTGTTCATGCCTTATTATGCGAACTGAGAGCTTCCCCCCCACCCCCCTTTTCCTGAACAGGAAACTATGCAAAGCTAAGCCTCAAAGCCTTTCCATTTCAGTTTTTCTTCCAGGTAATCACATTCAGAGGGCTGTCTATCAGGTGGAACTCACAGGTTGGAGAACTATGGAGTTTGTAGTCCAAGAAATGAAAAAAAAAACCACATTCCTATTGGATACGTCTTTTACTGTTTGAAATCAAGCCCCCATATTGAGCCGAGGGTTCATGCAGCTTCTCTTCTGGGTGTTCCTCACCTCTCTCTTTCTCTGCTCCTTCCTTTCGCAGCACGGCTTTAGCGACGTGAAGGTGGAAGACACCCCAAAAGGCCACATCGTGCTGTTCCAAGACGTGGAAACCCTCATTCGCATTGAGGAGGATTCGACGCACATCATGTGTGAAAGCGACGAGGCCCTGCGGGTGAAGCTGCAGGATCTGGTGCTAAAATTCCTGCAGAAATTCTAGCTTTGGCTCGGGGTGGGGGCGGAGCAGCAATGGAGGCTGGTTCAGGAGAGCAGAGCTCACTGCCCTAGGCACGAAATTCGGGCTGCTCTCCAGCGTGGCCCTTGTGTCATTAAATAGAAAGGAAGAATTCAACAGGTGTAGCTTTTCCGTTGGGACCAGTGTTGACAGGTCCGTTTGTTGAAATGTGCACCTTCACAGATTCGGACATGGTCTAAATCACCCACAAGGCCAGAGCATTTGGAACTGTTGTGTATGCATCTGACTCTGAAACGATGGGCCCATTACCACTCCTGAAGTTTTGCTCCAGATGGGCTTTGTTGTACCCTAAGTGCAGGCCACCCACTCTTGTTCTCACGTAAAGTGCAGAACTTTGGAAACTTTACAGACTTTTCAAACTTGGTTTGAAAACTTCAGCTGCAGTTTTCAAACCAAGGGAGATGTATAGCTTCTTTATAGTTTTAGGGACAGCAGAGAAATAGTAGAATGGTTTAGAGAAACCAATGGTGTTTTTTAAATATGTGTTTTGATTTTACTTTTCTATGATGGGTGTTTCCCTTCAACTTCCTTTGTTTTTTTTCAGCCTTGTAATATTGAAAATCTATCATTTCAGGCATTGTGGAAAGGTTCTTTAAAACAATGTTTTAATAAATAATGTCTGAGAAAACTGTATGTTTAGCTTGTGATATGAAGAATTACCCAAGTCTGAAAAGTGTCTTCAGAGACCCTAAATACTAAGTATGTGAATCAATATTAAGGGCAGAATGAATGAATCAGTTCCCCCCCCCCCGGGCTTTGAAACCTGTTTAATTCTATTTTCCATTAGAGAAGTGCAACTCAAACAAGAGATGGGGGGGCAGATCAAGACAGCCTCACACCCAGAGTAGTGGCATGCTCACTAAATGGGTGGGATGTAATTTAAATAAAATAAATAAATAAATAAATCAATCAATCAATCAATCAATCAATCAATCAATCAATCAATCAATCAATCAATCAATCAATCCTTATACAACTGCATCCCTTCCCCATCTCGGTAGTGGCATGCTCACTAAATGGGTGGGATGTAAATTTAAATAAAATAAATAAATAAATATCCTTATACAACTGCTCCCTTCCCCATCTCATTTCATCCAGCAGTTAAAAGGCGAGAGGGGAGGCTGATTTTCTGAACCTTGGCACTACCTGTTTCTGTGTCCCCATAAGAGTTACTTAACCAGAAGGTCACGGCTTATCTCTGGAAATACCCTTTTGCTCTGATGCTGTTCAGGAAATCTGACTGTGTCTACCTGCCTAGCGCTTGCCCGTTCATGAACTGTAGAGTTGCCTCAAATGTTCATTGAAATGACCGTTAAACTCTGCATCCAAAGGTCTGTTCTAAAATGTGCATCCCCTGTGGACGTCTTTGCTACATCCATGTGGTCCTGTAAAAATGTGTATGGATAACTGGAACCGAGCACAGCAGCCTGACACCCACCCACCCCACCTCTTCTTCAAAGGACAAAACTTTTCGGAAGGCTGCTCCATCAAATCCGTTCCTGGAGCTGAGAGCTATCCTCGCAACTAACCATGGCTGTGCTTAACTGGGAAAGTGACATGCATCTATCATTCTGTCCTGGGTAAAGAAACCAGCACAGCGTCCAAGTTAAAGCATTTAAGTCCTGAGACTTATTAGGAAATGCCGGTGTACCCTCTTGGGTGGTTTCCCTGAATAAAAGTCCTGGGAAAGTTTGTACCCAGGAAATGTGGTTTTAAGAATTCCCAGGAAATGTCTGGGAAGGCTAATAAGGTATCACAAGTTTTCCTACAAGCATGATCTGGTGAGACTGGAAATGCAAGAATCTTCCCCTTTTTTGGACAATGGCCTGCAGGACGCCCCTGCCAGCCTGGTTCTAAGACTTTCCGTACAATCTGATACTCAGCAAGTCTCGACCCCGGCAAGGTCAGAGAACTGGCAGGAATTACAAGCATGGTTTGGCATCCTTCGTTTCGAACGTATCTGGAGCACCGACCCGGCACTGAAGCTGCTTGAGCTGGAACAGCCCATTGCAAGCAAAACTGGTTCAATTGATCGATTTCCCCCGTCAATGGCCATGTTGGCCTGGGAGGGGGGGGAAAGAAGGATGCTGGGAATGGTAGTCCAAAGAAATAACTTAAGCAAGTTTTGCTCCTGGCAGCTGCACAGGGCTTACTATGCCTGCAAGGGACAAAATGGGAGGGCAAGCCGAAGAGAGCTTGAATCGAGGAGAGAGCAAAGCCACACGGAAGCGCAGCTGAAGGAGCGCCAGGGTTCAGCTTAGACCCGTCTCCTCAGCTCTCTGTGTTAACGCGAGGGTGACATCTGTCTGGGCTCTTTTATTAATCATCTGCCTAAGAAACTCACCTCTCATTGGGAATGTTTTTAATATTTACAACTCCTAGGCTCTAATTTATAGCAAGCGGCTGTCAGGGGCTTAACGATCCTGAGCGGAGAGGGGAAGTTTCATATTCAGTCCATAATGGAGTGCCTTCATTTTGCAGGGACGCCTTCCTGCACGCCATTCATTATTAACTACAGGGAGGGGGGGGGGAAGAGGAGGAAACAAAACAGTATCCTTGTAATGCCACATTTTAACATCATTATGGCTGAACCCTGAGTATAACAAAGGGATGCATCCATCAGAGCAAGATTTAAATAAGTGACTCCTGCCCTCCCGAGGAGCCTCCGGATCTTTTTTTTTAAGGGGGGGGAGAGTCACTTGCAAACAAGACTAAGAGCCATTGGGGGGTAACAGGTAGAGCTGAGCACCCGTGTCCCACCCATTCTGTGGGAAGAAATAGATGAGGCGTCTCTGTGAGCTTTGTCTTTGCTGAAATGTACAGTAGGACCCACCGGATCCATGAATTCACTTACCTGTTCCCTGAAAATAGTAAATTAAAAACGCACAGAAATGCATTTTTATATATGCATTTTACCAGAACTGGCCACTAGAGAGAGCCAGAGACCATGCAACGGATAGCATCGGCTACTTCCGTGTTTTTCAGTGTACTCGGCTGTGTGTATGTGTGGCTTGGAACCCATTTCCGGTTCTAGTGTGCCATAAAAGGACAACCTGGACAGAATGCAGGTTAAGGCTTAGATCTCGCCATAGTAAACAGAGTTGGAACACTTGCCAGCTAATGGAAGTCACGATGCGAGCTTGCTCCCCATCACACACTATTATCTCAATGGGCAAGAGTTACATACTCTAGCCCCCTTGCATGCCTTGGACTATGGGGATGATGGGTGTTGCGCATCTGGGGAGAATGTCAGCACGGGAAAGATTGGCTACATTATGGGCAGAGTGGGATGACCTTGCAGGGAAAGCTGGTCACGGAGTGACCAACATTCAGCTCACAATTGACAGCACAGCCCCAAATTTGCTCCTGATGCTCAGAGACGCCTGAAATGGTCTTGAGGACCCATCTGCTTCCAGGAGGGAAGGGAGTGACAAGGATGCTGCATCACCGAACTTGTGGGTCATTCAGAAGCAGTCAGCTTCCAGCAGCCACAGGTGAGGCCGTGGAGGTACCAAAACCAAAGGGGTCATGGGCAACCACTGACCGGCAGCAGCTGCCTCTATCGTCTTTCAAACACCAGCATTTCCCGGCTCTGTGGTGCCACACTGGCAGGTAGATGTTCCATCTCTGGTAGTTTTACAGCTTTTAGGTTCCACAGATCTGCTGGTTGCTATGGGTTTTTCGGGCTCTTTGGCCTTGTTCTGAAGGTTGTTCTTCCTAACATTTCGCCAGTCTCTGTGGCCGGCATCTTCAGAGGACAGGAGTCAGAACTCTGTCTATGCTCTGATGCAGTTTGTTGGATAGCTGAGTATTTATAGCTGTGGGATCAGCTTTTGTCCTTTTCAGGAGATTGGGTGATTATGATGATCAGCGTGTTTTTGTTGCAGCTGTATTGTTGTGATAAGGGGGAGAGATGATCTGTCACTGTGATTGATGGAAGTCGTTAACTGGTCTTTTGTGTGCAGTGATCACTGGTCCTTGTGGCTGGGGAGAGGTGGTTGACCTTTTGCAGGCTGTGTTTTCCAGTGCTGGGAGCCAGGCCTTGTTGAGTTTTAAACTTTCTTCTTTTTTGTTGAAGCTCTGCTGGTGTTTATGGATTTCAGTGCCTTCCCTGTGCAATCTAACATATTGAGATCTGTTGATCATTTTATCCAACACTGAGGAAGAGTTTTCAGTCAAAACAGGTTCGGTGGCTCTTCATGTTCTCTTGGATCACTCGGTCATCCTTCCGCGAGGCGGCAAAGGCTTTTCTCTTGAGGCAGGCTTTCCCTTCATGCCTGGTGGTCCGAGAGAGTTTTTTTTTTAATGGATTGTTTGTTTTTAAAATGGGTTTTAGCACTGATTTTATTACAGTTTTTAATATATTACTTATTTAATTCTTTTTAAAATATTTGTATACCTACTGATTCTAGCTTTTAAATCTTGTCTTTTGAATGAGGTAAGCCCCCTGGGGTTCTTTTTAAGGAGAAAGGCGGGATGAAAATATTTTAAAGAAAGAAATAATAAATTTCGACATCTGAGAGTTCAATTCTTCACTTAACATGGGCTGGATTCAATAGACCTTAGAATCCTTTCCAGTTCTGCAGCTCTAGAATTATTATAAGATTATATTTATACTACTCCTGGTTCATTTTGTTTGTACTTTTTAACCATTTATCATACTTGCGTTGTTGTGCATTCAGGCACATGTTTATTGTTATTGTGCACAGAGAAAAAGACAGATTTAGTGGCTTGTACTACATTTTTGTTACCATCTTCCTATTACCAGGATTTATGGTTTTTAATTGAAGCATTTTCACCGTCTCACCAAGTTGGAGGGAAATGATCATAAGAGAGTCCTTTTTAAAAAAGCCAATCCATTTTGATTTGCGACGTTTTCCTAAGGACCCCAGTTTTTGTAATGTTCTGTTTAGTTCGCTGTTGTTGTTTAGAGGAGTCTCCTATTATAATGTTCGCCCCTTGCAAAGATTCTGGCCCTCGATCCCTGCTCCCCGTTTGGCCCATGGGTCGGCCGAAATGCCCAGCTGTCATTGCTTTTAAAAAAACAGTGTGCTGGGGAGAAAAAAATGTGGTAATAGAATTATGCCAACTTATTTTGAGGAGTGA